GTCATTATGTCATTATCTCCTTCCACTGGTCAAATGCAAAACTTAAGACATTTGTCATTCAAATTCAGCATGTGAACTAGCAGCACCGCAGCAGCGAACTTCGGTTTCCTGCTTCACGTCTCTCTTTAGAGAAGACCTGAAATATTTGCAAGCTTCAGATATTTGCATTAGTGAAAATCCTTCTTTCACTTAATTAATGTACTTGTTGTTTAGACCCATCAACATGTCACATGCATAGCGGCTTGGTTTCCCTGTTAAGATCACAAACAGGTTTCTCACTCAAATAGGCCACTTGTTTATATGTGCATAACAGTTTGTAAGAGTGACTCATCTTATACTACAGCAGTGTTTCTCAACCCTGATCCTGGGTGCCCCCCCATCACTGCACATTTTGTGTGTCTCCCTAATCAAACACCTGATTCACCTCATTAAAAGAAACTCCAGGACCTGAAATGGGTGTCAGATAAGGTAGACATACAAAATGTGCAGTGTTGGGGGTTGCTCAGGACCAGGGTTGAGAAACACTGTACTACAGTAACACTTTTGTAACAACACTGACAGTCTAAAACATGCAGCCTATAAAAACATAAATAAGAACACTTAAATATGACCACTTGCTACTATTTTCTGCATTTTAGAATAGATTCTTAACTACAAGAGGTGCATCCTGGAATGCTTTTCAAACAGTACTGAAGAAGTTGACATGAACGTAAGACACTTGTCGACTGCTTTTCCTTCACTTTTTCCATCTGATCCAACACCAGCCATACGTATATGGGATCAATAAAAGACCTGTATTATATGGCTTTTCCACTGCGTGGTACGACTCGGCACGGTTCGGCACGGTTTGCGTTTCCACTGCAGTTCAGTACCGCTTTAGAGTGGGCGGGATTATTCACATGTTGTTATAGTTGTGCTGCCTCTACTACCACGACTCCTAAAAAAAACGTTTTCATTCCGCGTCGCCCCATCAAGCTCTCGCTGGATCCGCTCCTCTGCTATCAACGAGAGGAACGTCGGTTCTTCCGCAACAGACAACAAAAAAAAAAAGGTGCGCTCGTTCAAAACAGTTGTGTTCGATCCTTCGCTGGCTGTGCTGATTTAAATCTAGTGGTTCTTTTGTGTTTGTGTCGCAAGTTCAGTGACGCAGGTAGTGACGATTCTCTCAGGCCAATCCGTGATCAGCAGAGTTTACACGTCATGTTTTGGTAATGGTACGGTTCACTTGGAACCCCAACCGAGGTGGTACTAAAAAAAGTACCAGGTACTGTACCCAGTGGAAAACCCCCCAAAAGTGAACCGTACCGAGCCGTACCAGGCAGTGGAAAAGCGCCAATAGTGTCTTTAAACAGGTGATCTAGGTAGTTCAGCGCACAATGGCCTACAACTAGGCTTGCTGCGATAGAGGGTGTTTTCAGTTATACCGGTGTTAAGCCGCAACACCGGTTACGTCATTTGCCTACCGCGGCACCATCGTTTAGATTTTTTTTATAGTAACAAAAATAATTTAGCCTAGTTCAGTTAGAGAACAGACACTTTTATAAACTATACGCTCAATTCAGCGTGCCGAACCGTGTGCAAACGACGCACCACGTCAGTGCACCACGGAGCAGGAGTAAGATTTTATTTATCACGTGAGGAGAGTGAGTCGAGCTGACTGACAAGAGTGAGGTGAGAAAGACAAGACGATGGCAGAAGATTGTTTAGATAGGAAATGCAAAGTCACCTGTTTGGTAATATTTTAGATTTTGAAAAGCCTATTGACTGGAAGCTTTTTTAAACATTCGTTTCTTATTTATTTGGTTCCACAGTGTCTGCTGATTACTTTATTTAAACTGTGTATTTTATTTATTTTATTTTGCATCAAGGTGTATATGCTGTGCCTCCAAGCTTTCTTATTCGTTTTGCTAATAAACGTTCTATGTTTCTTATTTATTTGGTTCCACAGTGTCTGCTGATTTTCAGTTTTAAATACCTATTTAAACTTTGTGTAGCCTAAGTAATTTGGTATTTTATTAGGCATATATAGTGTATTTTTATTTGTTTTGTTAATAAAAGTTCTGAGTTTGAAGTTGTTGTTGCTTGAATTGAATCAATGACGAATTGCCGCTAATTTGAAAGCGAAAGTAAAACACGCACAGCGCTTTTTCAAGCTATTTGAAAGCCATGAAATCCGGGGAAAAGAGGGAAAACTCAAACGAACAATTGCTTGACGCCGAATTGCGGCTAATTTGAAAGTGAAAGTAAAATGCGCACGGCACTTTTACAAGCCATTTGAAAGCGAAGAAAAGAGGGAAACTCAAATGAACTAACACCCCCCACCCACCCCAACGGTGATACCGGTATTACCGGTGTTGTCACTCGTCGATTAACCGGTGGGAAGATTTCCCCCACCCCCTCACCCCAACTGTGATAACGGTATTTCCGGTGTTGTCACACGGCGATTGACCGGTGAGAAAATTTCCTCACCGTCACAACCCTACCTATAACTACTCTAAGAAGAAAACAAACCATTAACAGAAGTCTGGTCCATTTCCATCTTCTAATTCTTTAATAATTTAACACATTTGCATGTCTACTGTTCTATGGTCTATTGATGGTCACATGACATGCAGATAAACAGATACAACATTTTATTTCTTTTTATTTTACATTTTTATGATTTAAAGGAATAGTATACCCAAAAGTTTACATTTATTCACTATCAGACCATTTAAGATGAGTTTGTTTCTTCAACCAAACAGATTTGGAGAAATTTAGCATTAAATCACTTGCTCAGCAATGGACCCTCTGCAGTGAATGGGTGCCGTCAGAACAAGAGTCCAAACATTAATGATGGTTTTGTTACTAACAAACACACAGCTTTTCACTTCACAAGATGTTAACTGATGGACTGGAGTCATGTGGATTACTTGTGATGTTTTTATCAGCTGTTTGGACTCTCATTCTGATGGCACCCATTCACTGCAGAGGATCCATTGGTGAACAAGTGATGTAATGCTAAATTTGTTCTGATTAAAAAACAAACTCTTCTATATTGGACAGCCTGAGGGTAGGTACTTTTTTCAGCACATTTTAATTTTGGGGTGAAATATTCCTTTAATTACTTACTAGTTTTTCCATCAACTCTCAAACCCCAGGTGGGGAAACCCTGTTCTAACAAATCTAACCATTTTGTTTGTTAAAACAGGTGATAAGAAGCTCAGCTACCCTAACGAGGCACTATCAGCGTGTTATTGTGTATGTGTGCAAAAATAAGTCAAGAAAGAGAGAGAAACCACTGAAGCAGATCCTCACTTGGGACTTCAGACACAGAAGTAAGTAAAAATTCAAGTTAATCAAAATCTGGGGCTGGCTGCCGTGTTCCCATGGTGCCTTCACAGCTCACACTTCACACATTTCAGCAAACGCCTTTTCTCCAAAAGCACCAAGTGGAAAAAAGCATGCTTTCACTTAGGTACCTGAGGTTATTTGGGCATATGCATTTATCACACCACAACACAAGAGCATTTGTACGACACGCTGTCTGACAAAGAGTTTAACTGTTCAGGTGACTAATAGAGAAAAGCAGACATAACGGCCAGTGGTTACAAACAAAGAGCTGTCTTTGACTCGGCAGATAAGAAAAAAGGAAGAACAAGATCCTTGTTTAACTTCATGGTGATTATTAAAATGTCCTCCTCAAGGGTCTGTGGTGTTTTTTTTAAAAGCTTATTCGAAGAATTACTCTGTTTGCATCCTCAATAATGGCCTTTTTACAAATCTGAAATGATGACAAAGAACTTCGGACCTTTTTACAAGGCAAATCTGTCTCAAAGCAACATGAAAGATTGAGAAAACTCACCAATCTTCTGGTTGAAGATTTTGTCAAAGGTCAGTTCATCCCTTTCTTCCAGGTACTTTTGCATGACACTCCGAATACTGCAAGAAAATGGGAAAAAATTACTTTAGTTCAAAACCCCACATCAGCTAAGACCCATCTCGCCCTGAGAGAAAGGTAAGTAGATTTTTCAGCCAGCCTCCTGCGCTGGCCTTCCACCTCGATCCCGGCCTTAGTTTAGGTCTCTCCACAACCACCTGCCCGTCTCTTCCCAACGGAGGGGACTGCCACACTGCCCTGGGAGAGGGTGTTAATGAGCAGCAAGGTTTGGGAGACTGAATCAATTAGCACCCCCTCCGAGGGCTCATTATCACCCAACCACAGGCCCACAGAGTCAGAGTGCAGGTCAGGGGAGATTGGAGTGTCCCCAAACATGCTCCTGCAGTCCTGGACCAGACACAGACAGCCCTGTAGTGAGTGACCTGACAACATTACGGTAAACGGACAGGGCTGATATCAGGACTGCTAATATAAATAGGGCTGTGCGATGATGAAAACTCATTACATATTTATGGTAATTAAGTTGGCGATGTAAAATTAAGCAATACTGTGAATATTATGAAGATGCAATGAAATGTATATTTACTCGTTAAGTTATATCAGTGTGACAGTGTAAAAATTGCATGGAAAAGACAAACTGTCCATTTCAATTAATCAATTCATGGCTCCGATTCAACTATACGTTTGAATCATTATTAATATATATTGCTATTGATTACCATGTTTTTGTTATATTGGTGCATATAAAATAAAATCATTAAATATTTCATCTAATTCTAGCATTAAAGGGGTCATATGATGCGATTTCAATTTTTCTTTTCTCTTTGGAGTGTTACAAGCTCTTGGTGTATATAGAAGATCTGTAAAGTTGCAAAGACTAAAGTCTCAAATCCAAAGAGATATTCTTTATAAAAGTTAAGACTTGTCCACGCCCTCCTAAAACACCTCGTTTAAACACGCCCCCACACGTCTACGTCACCATGTGGGAAGATTTGCATAATGCCGCCCAAATGTTCACGCAAAGAAAGAAGGCATAACTTTTATTCTTGCTGTAGTATTGTTGTTGCCGCCGACCGCCATGTTGTGGAGATGCTGTGTTTCATTGTGAAAGCGAAACTACTTTGTTTGGCATTCCAAAATAGGACATAATGTTTCTATAAAGTGGGGCAGTTCCAACTTTGCAAGGACAGTCTGGCGCTTCTGACTCACAGCCTGTAAGTACGTTTTTTATATATAAAGAATTTGCCACTGATGATTCAAACGCGAGTTTGAGCAGTGTAGAGTAGGCTTGTTGTTTGTCATTTCTCCGATCACAAATGCAGACATGGTTTTGTGTTTATGCGGTGCAATACGCAACGCAAAAAGTAAAAACACATTAGAAGTCATTATAATCCGTAATTATGTCCCTACTGGATGCAACAAATGCCTCGTTTGTAATGGGTTTTATTGGTTTTGTCTCGTCGCGCCGGGACATATGGAAACAGTATGGTAAGGGGCGTAACATTTCCGTCACACGCTTGAGGTATTCAGCCAATCACAACACACTGGATAGCTGGCCAATCAGAGCACACCTCGCTTTTCAGAACATTGAGCTTTTGAAAAATTGACGCGTTTCAGAAATGCGGGGCATAGTGTTCTTTTTAGCAACATCATATGACTAAAAATTCTAAAAAACACCTGTCAAGTAATTTCAGAGCAAATACATAAGTAGGGATATATCAAATCAATATAGGCTTAAAAATAATATTTTAGCGGCCCTGCCCTAGTAAATGACTTAACACATGACTGTAAAAAGCAAAATCTGATATTTGGATCCCTTGAGTGGCTGAAAGCTCAAGACTCGATGAGCTCTTTTAAGACACAAACAAACTTTTAATTTATTAATGATGACTACATGTTTTACTCACGCATCGCATTCATATTTTATAGCCTGGCCTACATTATGATGACACATTAACTGGCCTTTAGCATCTCAAAAGTGGTAACTAGTTCAAAACCACCGACTAATGGATACAATTTAAAACGCAGGATTGCACCCGTGCAGGAGATATTGCATTCAACCACAACATGCGCGACCCCTTGCTGCCCGTCTCTCTCCGGATTCAGACACATTCATCTCTTTCTCTGTCTGTCTGCAATCGCATCAGTTTCGTCCCATGGTCCAACGTCCATGTGACTGAAACAATCTCAAGTCTCTTCCACTCGTCTCGCTGTCAAACAATCCCACCAGCTCCTCAAACACTTCCAGTCATGCTGTCAAAATCTCACCTCTCTGCCAGCGGGCTCACGACTGGCCCAAGGAGAATGTAGCAGAGCCGCGCTATCTCTCTCCACCGGCAAAAGGCAAAGTACCTTCTATTTATTAACAAACGCCTTTGTTGTACCATCAGCTTATGCTTTCTTATGCACGCTGGATCATTGCTGTCAATATGGGATATTGATACGGTTCTCTTACACCACAGAGGTTTAAAAAAATGCTTACTGAACAACAACAAACAAGTGCTTGAGTGTCACAAGAAGAGTTTGATGGTAAACGAAAGTTTTAGTCAGAAGGTGCAGCTGGGAGTGGCATGAAGCTTATGGATCCCGTAATAATGCTAATGATGGGGACACTGATGTCAACGGCTAATGCTTTCCCTCGATCTGTGGTAATGCCGCCCTGCTGCGGACTACAGTAATCCCTCAGAGCAAAAAGAGCCACTAAAGCAGACTAATCACAATAAGGAGCGGATGTATGGTTTACCACTTTGTCGAACGGAAAAGCCAACCCTTGTTATCGTTTCCGATTCGTACCGCGCATTACCGCATCATCCGGGGAGGCTAAATAGCCCACCGGCACATGCATCATCTCGGCCCAAGGAGAGACTTTTATATTAGCCTTGGCGTAGGAAGGAAGATGATTAATCGTAAATGAATCTTGCCGCGAATTTACTCTGCCTGTGTCCTGATGCTGGCCGACTCACAGAAGACTTCTTCAAAAAGCCTGATTGAATGCTTTAGCAGGATTATATGTAGTGCTGGGCGGAATACCGGTTCATACTGAATACCAGTGTTTATTTTTGTTATGATATGAATTTTTAAAATACCACAATACGTAGTAGATCACTAATAGTATGTTGCTTAAACAACGTTCGGAACGCGACACTGTTTGAAAGGGGTTCCTTTTCACTGTTGCACTGTGGTGAGGGAACAGCTGTATGTGTTACGAAGCGTGAACGTTCCGAAACTGAAGCTGTAGAACTAATAGAACGTGATGACACAGAAGAACTCATCCACAATATCCACATTGACCGCCACAAATATCCACCGC